CGGCTTTAGAAAAAGGAAAGGAATCATGAGCAGCTGAAATTGACGCAGAATTTTTGAATGGGGCGTCACATCAGGGAAATCTGCTGCTAAAGTTCATCATGAACTGAAGCAATAATTGCAAGGCACGGCGTTTTCCAAGTGCATTGTGTAAAGAAGAATGGACCCAAGAAAAGGTTGAGGTGATGCCCGCAATGTTCACTTTGCCCACGAAGAGTGGGTAGATGAAATCGAACGTCGTACGGTGGAGCGCAAAGAGTGGACCGTTATCAAACTTCCCCGTGAGAACGGTATCTGAGTGGTGGTTCAGTGGTTTATTAAAGCTCCGGTGATAATGGAGTAAATATTTTACGACTAAAATAGTGAGTGCGGACGTGTTCGCCGTCATCAATGCATTTCGAACGACAACACAAGAAATCAGGCCTGCCGCTCAAATTGGTTTTACTCTTGGAGATGCAATGAAAGCTCGAGGTGGAAACAAGCAAGTCATGTAATGTCGTTCACAAACAACACACGCATTATAAAGTAAAGCTCGAAAAGTTTGCTCGCGAATGACAGTATTCCTAACAAGGTCATAAATTCCAAGTGTAATAAAAATCATATGGGGAACGCTCTTCTTATGAGGAGGGCTTCAAAAACGCAACCTTGATGGATATGATTAAGAACTCACACATGAAAGGAAATCCAGGAGTTAATATTATTTTTCGCTTCCTCGCCTTCTCATTATATGGCATTCTGGCTGGCGACACGACATGGCGCAATCTTTAGCTTCATTCATACCATGCCATTCGATTCAGAAAGTATACCTATATAATATTCATAATAACAATCACTTCCATGATATCAGTGATGAACAAGGGTGTAGCGCAACCTAGGCACATATAAACTTTTTACCGGTAACGCCTGGTAAACAGTGAACTTAATTATTGCGCTAAGTCAGGACAACAACGTTGGAAGGCACGTTTTTAAAGAAAAACAGTTTGTCGGTACTCTTGCACCATAGAATTGAATAAAATACATAAATATCTACTGATTGAAGCGTTTCATTTTCTAGGAATTTTTTATACCTACAGGGGATTAGTTCCAAGAATGACTTATTGGAAAAAACAGATTCGGGCCCAAATCTTTCCATATAGAACTTCATTTGTCCTATACTTGAACCCTTTGGCTCAATTAATAGTGACTGTACACAATGATGTATCAACTGTTTTAATTGTCATCCCGTTGATCATGGATTTCTTCGAGAGTTACGCTTTCACTCCCTGTCGCAAGCCAGAATAGTCTCGTGGTCCTTTGTCGCTCAAGAGAGTAGTGGCATATCGATTCTTTTGTTCGAAGCTCTCAAGAAGAAGTCTGATAATCGCGGTTGCGGCCATCCGGGTCCGGGAACTTCTCCCTTGACACGGCGTCGCACACGCCGCATCCGCCGCGTATCGCAGGATTGCGATGGAAGATTGGAGCGAGCAATTTTTTGAGGTAGGGAGTCCTTTAATTATTTGAATTGGCTGACCGCTTTCTTCAATTTCAATGCAGTCTTGATCGCCGCTTACATAGGAGGAGTCATTTTAATTAATCAAGGCTAATAAACATGAAAACGAAAAAGAAATAGAAGAAAAGACGATCAAATCCAATAAAAAAGCAAGGCAATCAACGAAAAATATCGCGTCCTATCCATTGGCGGGGAGCACTCCGCCGTGGTTCAACGGTCACTACAATATCCCATGACTCCGAAATTTTCTATTCCTTGTCGTAAGCAAAAGCGTCCCTAGTCATTGTTCCTTGACGGAACTCTAAACTCTGTATCACTTTTTGGTCATGCGAGCATAGAAAAATTCCGAGTATCTTCCTTTCCACAGCGCGTTGAATGATGCTGACCGCATCCTGAGTCTGGGCCTTTGAGGCACATGTCAAATTAGAGAGGGCTGCAGTGCCGCAAAGTGAGCGCAGGGCGGAATGCTCAATGTCTACTTCACGACTTCCTCGATGTTTGTTGATACCCCGTGTGTTCGCTTCTGCACAGATGTGGAGCTGGAGTCGTTCTTCATGTTGACAACTCGACCCAAACACGTATATAGAGCATTCAGAGAGAATCATCTCCCTGTCATCATGGAAGGAGCATCAGGTAAAACAGAATCAACAACATAGAGTAATGGTAAACTAGTCTTTATGTGAGAGAAGAAGTGCGGGTCAACGAGTCCGCTTCACTACACGATTTATGTAAAGGGGATTAAGTTAGAGAGTCATCAAACAGCGAGACCCCGAGGTAATGATATCTTCTCAGAGATTCGAAGGTACCCAGGGAGATTCCTTATAGAAGCATAATCTCAAAATTGAAATCATGTTCAAGTAACAATTTTCTCCCCCTTCTATGTTATCCGTCACTTTCTAAACAGACTGTGGCTGTAGGCGAAACCCTGATTGATTTCTACGCTGAGCCCGAAAAAGATAAGCGTTGGGAATGGGTGGATGCAGATGAGAGGCACGAAATTACTCGCATTTAGAGCCATGTGGCTCTAAGCGAACTCTCATCATGTCTATAGGATTTTAGGGCGCGATGTGTTGGCCACTTTTCATGAAAGCCCCGTCACTGGTGGAGTGTATCATCTTTTTCTCGAAGATAACATCGAAAATCGGGTGGCAGTGCACATCTGCGACAAGATCATCATCAGTTATGACCATGGCAGGCCCCGCGCAGTTCGAATTGTGCGGCAGTTCTCACAATGAAGATGTCGAATCCTGAATCGGACCGCCGTATTTGCCCGGCCTACTAGAATGCGATCTCAACTGTTTCAGTCATTGGAAGGCATACATAGAGTAGCGCTCGCAAGTATTCGGTCAAACGCTTTCACGCTTTTTCGTTTATAACTTTTTTCTTAGTGGAGCAAATCGCGCGAAATTTTGATATGTTTAACTAAAGCATATTTCACACCATCCAACCTTGTTGGACGGCAAAGCAGTAATATCCACAGATAGAGCAAGGTGTTTGTTGCAGTAGCAGATTTCGCTAAATTTAAAGTTATTGACGTCTGCACTTATTCGCACCTTATGTGCGTTTTCTCATCTATTGTGTACGGCATTACCGCTCGTACACTTTAGACATGACAAAAAGGAAAGAGATTCTAGAAGGACCATCATCTGTATTTTCAGTCGATTTTGAGTTCATGCTCTCTGGAGTATCTAGAACATGATCAGATTGCAGGCTTATAGTGGTGAATATTCACAATGCACCCATGCTACACATATTGAAATTTCGCATGATTAGATCCAGTAAGATAAAAGTTACGACTGAAAAGTACAACTGAAGAGCCATTTCGCCGAATACTTTTGAGCGCTACCGTATATCCGTATGTTCAATGTATTCATTACACTGAACAAATGAAAAAGAATGAGGTAATAAGGTCAACATTTCAGTGAATTCACCACACCAGTATTTTCTCAAAGTTATAGCTTTCTCGAGCTTGCTAAATTTAATTGTAAAGTAATATACTTGCGCAAAACAGATAAAGAAAATGATATTAAATATTAAATAAAATATATAAGAACACTTCGGTGAACAGTTTAGAAGAAGAACAACAACATATGAATTTTATAAATTAACTAACCACACAGGCATTTCCGAGAGAGTGCATGCAAATATAGGATTTCAACTGCACATAGATAGCTCTTCAAACCAAGGGCAAAGAGAGATCTGACATTGAACAAGAACAGTTATTCAGTATGAAGAACATGTCAAATAGGTAGGGTAATAATGGTAAACATCTAATTATACATTAGCATGCACGGATTTTCTAGGAATAAAGAAGAATTGCATGCAATAATTGATTCAAAACATCTCAGCAATCTCTAATTTAGTTTCAGGGAGTCGACATCTTTTAAGGGGACTACATTAAAACTCAATCAAAGATCGCGGGAATAAAAAGTAAAAAAAAAGTTAACCACTACGAGTTCACCAAAATACCATGCAAAACTATTACATGAATTCAAACACGTAACAAACTTACCTGATCCACTCGCCAATTGTAGCCAGTAAAGATTCTTAGTCGAATGATTATGAATAACAGCAGCAGAATACAAATAGGGTCGGATATAATATACAGTCAGTTCAGGTCCATCGAGTGATTGAGTTTCCGACAAAGATGCTCCAATGCGAACGGTGGTGCCCGACAATTAGTTTTCATAGTAAGCCGAACAGGGTATGGCGTTAAGAAGGTACAGAATTTCGCCCCTTACTGTGCCCCAACCGTTTTTCGATCCGACATCGGCAGATATGGTATCAGAGGAGGGGGCTCGAATTCTTCCTATGAGGATGGGGAAATCTCAGAAACCATTTTTTGTGAACTGTGCCTTCGAAGAGAATCGTCTACGCTGATGGCATAGCTCTGTTAGCAGAGGTTCGAGAAAAACTCCAGGACAAGCTGCAAGAATGGCAGGCGTTGGAAGGGGAATGGGCTTCGGCTGAATGTGAAGAAGACTAAAGACTCTGATAACTTCCTTAAATCCGAGGAATGCACGGAGTCAATCGCAGACGGTCTTGGAGAACTAACGAGAGGGTACAGGACTTCAAATACCGAAGGGTCGGTCCAGCCGCCCACGGTAGCGTGTATGAAACTATAAAAAGCCCAATTAAACGCGGTATAGATGAGATTGAGGCAATCCACTCATATTCTCTGCAAACCAAGGTGCTCTAAAGCACTCAAAGGAAAGGTGTAGTGGACAACGACGCTCTACGGTAGCAAATGCTGCTCCGTAAGAAAAAATTATGAAAGACAGCCTCCAACTTGGGCTGTCTTTCATGATTTTATCAGGTCGCAGGTTCACCTGGGGAGGATGCCCGGATGGACCTGCGACTGGACATGACTGGACAGTATCAGGAACGGAAATGTCGTGGCGGCTATGCTATCAACCCCTTTCCAGTTGATGAAAGACCGGCGTCTGCATCATCCGATAGGGGAGACAATAAATTCAAGGCTCAAGGAAAACGGCAATAGGGAGTTCTAAAAAACATGTGGCGGGACCTGTTCAAGAAGGATCTCACCGAAGCTGAAGGAACGGCCGAAGATGCCGCAGATAGAATAAAGCGGAAACGGCAGATAAGAGCAGCGGACGCTACGATGTACGGGGTCGATATTAGAGAGAAGAAGAGTAAGATAATATGACTCGCACAAGCTCGTCAAGCCTTACATCTATCTAAAATCGATTAATAGGTTTCAAACTTGTCCGGGAGGAAAGGACGCCAACCTCACCGGAGCTTCTGCGATTTGTAGCACCTTTACTGAGGACCCTTTTCAATAAACCTGAGTACCTTAAGTACCAGTTTCGTTGATAACCACCTAAGAATGTGAACTCTTCCACGCCATACAACTCAAAAAAAGTCGTTATGTAAAGTATACTTTGTTATTTCGAAAGGCGATAAGTGGTGGCGCCCGAAACCGCTTCCCTGCAGTAGATCATCACCAATGCGGTAGCACTCGTCCTACGAAATGTGACGGGAAATCGAAAAGGAAATCAGTGACAACATTTCGAAAAGTAATGACAAGTCAATGCTAAGACTTCAATGGCGTGCCATCCAGCCAAGTCCAGTTCATGGTGTAGCAGACGATAATGATGGAACTGGTAGGTGTAAAAGGTATAAAAAGGATGCACCCTCTGGTCGAGATCTTGACTGATGTACCGGTTGTGTGGGGCATTTTCGATTGACTATAGTTGGCTTAAGAAAATATTCTATTTACAATTTAACAGTTTAGGTGCACTACTTGAAGGCAGCGCTGATACCATTGGTAGCGAGCATCACCTGCGCTGTGGCATACGGAAATATTATCAACACCATTCGGAAAAGCACTGGTCAACTGTAAGTATCTGTTGAAAATACTCATTGTGCATGACAAATTTCTCTCCAGTCTTCAGTGGTTTCAGACGACGCAGAGATATACGACTGAGCATTCAAGCAGTTGGGTTATTGGTGGCCTTGCTGATCACTTGCGTACATTTTTGTATGCAATATACGTTCAATATCCTTAAAGTAAGCTATATGATTCTACTAAACCTGCAGCAGAGCTTGAGGTAATCCAGAGCTGATCGTGAGTGAGCTGTAGTATGCGCCGCGCAGTTAACCTTCATCCAGAAGCAAAAAGTAAAACGGTTTCATCGCGTTCGCGTTCGGCCCGCATCTCAAATGGAGCGAGTACCAATGCCTAAGTAACCACCTCAGCCGATTAAAAAGTTGCAACTCTCAATGAGAGATATAATCCTTGGCAATATTTCAAAGAGCTATGGTCCCCTCATGTGCAAAGACAAAATGGAAGCGCCCCGCAGCGTTGATTGATCAGCTTTCCTCAGAGTCGTTAACATTGGTCGGCTGGCTTCATCGGCTGTTGTATAAGGTTGTTTTGCCCCTTCATGCAGACCCAGCGATTCCCGCAGAGCGATGCCTGCTTAGGGTAGATGGGATCTGATTAGTTATCGTGAGAGCTCTGCTTCTAATCCTTTTCTTCTTCATTCAAACTATCCTTCGTTATTATATCCTTCAATGAATCCAGTCTGTTTCCAGATGACAAGCCAAGTGTACATGATGCGGTTATTCACACCTTTGTGGGTCGGCATGTTGACATTTATCAATCCGTGGATGATCCTTCTGATGAATCAAGAAGTACGACGTATGACGCTGGGGAAACATATGAGTGAAGATTCAAGCAGCGTTCATCCAGCCGTAGCAAGTCAACAGTTCACTCGAACAGCCACGAAAAAGCCCACCTTATACGAAAAGGAGTAATCCAAGTGCCGATCAAATGTGAGTGCCCCAAGGGTTACACATTCTACAGAAGAGTTAGATCGGAGATGACAAAACGTTGGCTCTCGGAGATGCCTTTTATGTAGGGATAAAAATATACTAGTGGGAACATAAGTGAAGATTAGGAAACGGACTCGAAGACCCCGTTCACACGTTCACCACACCAGCTGTTTACACCTGAAGTCCCGCGACTGATATGAAAATTGAATCCTTCTACTTGAAGCGTTTTTTCTTGCAGACTTTCAAAATACATTGCTTTTGAAGAATAAATATAGTTGGATTGAGTGTGAAACACATATTAATGTAGACCAAGCGGAATTTCACTTCAAAACCACTAACCATGAAGCTTACAAATTAGAGCCGATCTGTCAGTATCGACCATAAATATTCGAACCTTCTTAATTGCGCGTGACATATTATGAAAGCGTCATGACAGCTGTGTACGATGTGTTTATGTGTTATTTATGTTTGTGTTTCGTATCTCTGTTCTGTCACACTAGCATCTATTATATCTTAAGCTCACAATTTATTTCTTATATTTTGGAGCACGACCGAGATGTGCTAATCATTGAGATTCTCATGACGGTGACTTAGTAGCGTCTCTTTTGAATCACCGAAAGCGGTTAGTTCCTAGCACACCTTCTATAAAGACCGTCTGTCGGTGGTTCGATGCCGGTACGCGTAGACAGCGCAGATAATACTTGTTCGAATACAATGGCACGGCGCAGTGAATACATCAACTGCGCAGACGAGCGGGATGGTCGAGTGGTGGAAGAGTGAAAAGAGATACAAGCATAGCGCATGCCAGCGGATTTAGAGACGCGTTGGCGTTTGCTTTGCGATATGTGACGGATGAGCGTCGGGAACTTGAGCATTAACTAAACATAAGGCCCTTATCAGATCGAAGGAATCCCTAAGAAAGACGTTCTCTAAAGAAATGAGAATACTTGCAGAGACTAAAAGTCAACAATGTCGAGCACTAAAATGTCTACATAGATCGCAAAATCGCGGTTCCTCCGTGATACTCTTGGCCGGCGTTCCTCTAGTCCTGAAGGCAGCGCTCCAGCTTGTTGATTCGCTCCGTTGTTCGGGCGAGTCCGCGCCTCGCATGTGCAAATCTCTCCGCGATTTCATCACTTTTGTCGTGCAGCTTGCACCAGGCTGAATGGTGGTCGTATTGCCGCAGTGATAACAGCGCTCATAGTACTTTTTACAAGACTTATCTCCGCGGCAAAGTTCGAGGCATTCAACGCACTTTCCCCTGTCCTCAATCATACGACGGCGCACAAACGCAGGGGAATTCGTCACATGAGTCCGAGTAATGCTTGCCGTCTGCTCTACAAAAGGCGCAGCGCATAAATCGTCCTGTGTCACTTCCGACTGCTCCGTAGCCATATCTCCTTGGCGGACACGTAGGAAGATGGCGCAGTTCATCTATTATTTGAAGAAAGTTACTGCGGGCTTGTTGAAGCTGCCGAATACCTCCTTCGATCTGTTTTCGCATGTTGACGTTTTGTTGTCGTATTCGCTCTTGTACTTCTTGTGGCTCCTCTTCTTCTTCGCCAACTTCCCCTTCCTCTACACCGAGTTTCTCGAGAAATTCGCATTTTTCTGGAGCGCGTCTCTTTCTTATTCGTGCATGGCCATGCCCTCCGGCACAGGCGAATGTCGGGGGATGCCGGTCAGCCTGAACAGCGGCGCGTTCCGCTTCTTCGAGTTCGTCCGTCGCGTTATCTTCGTGAAGATTTACAGTTGGCGCTTTCTGTCTATTACGCTTAAAGTTGGCCAAAGCTGCATCGACAGAAGATTGCAGCCTTGGCATAGCCGTGCGCATCTGGTTTTGAAACTCGCGGGTGTCTTGTTGGTCTGCTTCCATCATCGATGCACGTAATTCCACGAACACTTGGCGGTTGCGATCAAGTTGTTGAAGTTGATCTAAAGCAACCGTTTCGATCTCCTTTGGTTGCATTAAAAGAGGGTTTTCTTCTTCGTTCCTGTGTGGGCGATCCATCCATGTACGCCATATATCTATCAAGATAATTTTTGCAGCGCACAGCAGGGTCCAGTGGAGAGGGTTCGCAGTTGGAATTGGATGAACAGTATCTCGATACGCAGCTTTTCTACTGACAGCTCTAGTAGTGTCACGTCGTGGAGGCGATTCTCGTTACTATTGGCGGACTGGCGCAGAGACTTTATGCGGTTGTCTAAGTCGCTCGTTCTGTTAGTGCAGAGATGAAACTTGTGACAAAGATCCACGATGTTGTGATACAGTCTTTCTGGATTTGGCAGAGGAAGTGCTCGGCGCAATCCTCGCAAGTCTTGTGTTTTCTGGTCCAGTTCTCGACAGACAAGCGCAAGTTCTTCTTCAGTATCACGGAGACGCCAGCGCAGATGTTCCATATTCTGTGGTGCTGATCGTTGATTTGTTTGGGAGCATTGTTGCGCAGTAGGGCTCATTGGGTGCGCTGTCGCATGTGCTCTTTTATCCCGTAGTGGTTGGACCACCGCTGCACCTCGTGCTATTTGGCAGCGTTGTGGGCAAAGTGTGCGATAGTTTTTTCCCCATTACACGTTCTGCACCCATCCTTTGGGCACTCTTTAACGAAGTGTCCTACGATAGCACAGTCAGAGCATCTTTATGCTCACGGAAAACTGTGCGTCTTTCTTCCAATAAATCGAACTCCTTGCAAAACACTGATCTATGATCTTCACTAGCACAAAAGATGCAATTTGCATCCCCCATAGGTGTCAACTCAGATCGCTTACTTTCTCGAAAAAAAAAATGCGTTTCCATTGGGTTTGGTATGAACCATACCGTTTATTCGCTCTTTCACCGATATAATTTTGTCAAGGTCGGCTAAGGCATTTTGCAGTACCCACGCGCTTTCGTCTGAACATGACTCTAGCCTTCGTTTGAGTACTTTTCTCTCAAGATCGACGGAAAATTTCGTAAGAATTTTCTGTACGAGGAACGATCCGTCGAGTGGTACCCCTTTTTCCTTCAACTGCGTTACTATCGGGGTGATATTTTCTAACAGTCGGCGCTGTGATGGAAGTGTTGGGTTTTCGGCCCTTGCAATTTCTGAGCAGGCTTGCAGGCACGCATAAACTTTGATTCATCGCCGTACTTCTTGCGCAGAAGTTTGATTGCATGATCGTAATTTTCCTCCGTTACGGGGTGACGGCGCACAGCTTCGCGAGCTTCTCCCTGCAGCGCTTTAAATAAGTAGTTGAACTTTTGCAGTTTAGATAAGGCTGGTTGTGAACATTAGGTGCAAACGAAATCCAGAAATTTTAAAATTCCCAGAATTTACTATCAAAGGAAGGAATAGGGATGGGTGGCAAAGTCATTTGCGCAACACCAATTTCCCTCATTGGCGCATGCTGCTTATGGAAGCTGGGTGACATTTGCGGATGATCCCGGACGCTCGTGCGCCTAGCGGCCGTTTCGAGGACGCTAGGGCCTTTGTGACGCACTCTTCAACCTGCTGCTCTTGGTCACCCGACAGCGCGTCATCCAATGAGTCGCATATTATTGTGAAGGTATTCAGCGCTTCGGTCGCTAGATTTGCAGAAGATTTAAGTTGAAGTGTTACAGCCTGCGCTTTTGCTGACTTAGCGCTGTCGCAAAAGGGTTTCCGGGTCGTGCAGTACCGTGTTGAGAGTCCTTTCACAGATTTCAAAGAGTTGGGCCAGCCATACTTGATAGAGAAGGAACGCAAAGAATAAGGAAACGAAATTCAAAGGGAACCGCTCAAAATCTGAGCGCCGTCAGTGAACTCTCGAAAAAGGAAAAAATACTTATCTGAGCGCTGCCGTTGCGTTGCAAATGAACCTTGCGCAGACGAAAATAAGAAGTTAAGCTAAACGATTATAAAAATCGTACCTCTAAGCAGTCCTGGTTCCAAGGTAGAAGGTCCGGTGTACCATATAAAGGCTTGCCGTCTGTCGGTGGTCCGAATAAGCGCAGTGAATACAGTAACTGCGCAGACGAACGGAACGGTCGAGTGGTGGAAGAGTGAAGAGAGAGACAAGCATAGCGCATGCCAGCCAATTTAAAGGCGCGTTGGCATTTGCTTGGCGATATGTGACAGATAAGCGCTGGGAACTTGAGCATAAACTAAAAAAAGGCCCTTATCTGATCAAAGGAATCCATAACAAAGACATTCCTTAAAGAAATGAGAACGTTTACAAAGATTAAAAGTTAACAATATCAAGCACTAAAATGTCTACATAGATCGCAAAATTTATTCACTGTGCATCTTTAAAATTGTTGATTGTCTGAATATAAGGTATAAATATTCTTATTGCTAAGTAGTAGCTAACCGTCACTAGTTATCTGATTGTTTTTCATCAAAGTTCGAAGTACTCTTATTGTAAAAAAAGTGACTTCCCTTTTTAATTGCTGCTATTTCACCGCACTACGCGATGCGAAAGTCTCACAAGGTTTGCGATTCTTGTTATTCCACCTTTTTCATAGTTCACTTCAAGACAGAGTTTTTCGAGTCAAATAAGCCCCTGAACTCATTACGCTGCGATCTACATGATGAGACTTCAAAAGCTTGAAAGGCTTCATTCTTGTATTATTTTAATTTGAGACATACTCTAAAGTTTAAAAGGATTGTCTGACTCAGAAGAGGCAACGAAACTAATAAACGATCTGGAATCAAAGTCAGAGCGCGGTAGCAATTTTGCAGCCGACATGATGCACAATAAGCCCTTCTCTTTTTGTATGGCAGTAAGTATCAGTTTTGGTAGTTGATCACCAGTAGTTTTCACACTAAACCAAATCACACGGCTGTAGTGTGTACTTCTCAAATCCTCCAAAAGTCTGAACGGCAGCGCAATCCATTTCATCGAGGCAAAGTATGAGACGATAGCGTACGCATTGGCAAAGACTACGATCGAGAGTCGTGTCAGTACGAATTCCCAGTAGGTCTGCCATTTCATCGGACAGTTGACTCCTTGTTTTTTTCGCCTCCCGTCGCTGCTTTGGAAATGAAAACAGAGTAGTGGTTTTTTCCAAGAGTGGACAGAAACGCGCAGAGCACTGTTTATAGTCTGGGATCATTTCTATCGCCATCCTTACTATATATAATCCAACTGGGTCAACGAACCCACGTGCTGTGGGTCTCCTCCATCTGGTTCGTTGACCCAATTGGAGCTTTCTCAAAGTGAGCGGTACTTTTCAGATGTATTCATAACTTGATTCAAGTAAGGCGCAGAGGCCAGAAAAAAATGATGAGTGAGCAGGGCCTTATGCGTGCTGGGCATGCGTGATCCTCAGCGAAGCACCGCCCACGATGGGCGGGGCGTGCGTTGAGATGAAAGCCACTTTTCAAAAATGAATGCGACTTCGCTTGGAAACGGCTTAGAATGCGGGAAAAAGCGAATAGAAGTAATGAAAAAAATGTGGCCAAACCCTCGAAGTGGACGGGGTTGGCACTAAAATGGGCAGAGCTTAGATCAAAAATTTATAACTCTGTTCAGAAACGTTCTGAGATGCGGCAAAAAAATTGTTAAGGTATAATAGAACAAATGTGGTCAGATCCCACAAGTGGGCGGGTTTGGCACCGAAGCGGGCGGGTCTACATCAAAATTATTCTCTTCAAATGCGTTTTAGAACGCGGGAAAAAGGTGTCTGGAGGTAATAAGAGTAATGTGGTTCGAAGTCTGAAGAGGGTGGGGTTTGCAAAAAGTGGGGAGAGGCTGAGATCAAAAATTTTTACATCTGTCTTTCACACTAACCCTAACCACATAGGTGTACAACTAGAGATACCACTAAACTCTTTCAAACATTAGGGTAAAAGTTTTCTAAAAGTTAGCATCCATGATTCCACACACACTGGTCCCTTCTACACAAGAGCGAATGCACTACATGACTTTAGACCTCATAAAATAAATTCTACAATAATCCCGACTACACAGGTGTATGTGGCCTGTAGATACGTGTGAATCCCTACAACTATCCAAAGGGCTGTCCTTTCAAAGTTAGTGTTCATGGCCCTACACAGCCCAAACTACACAGAGTTTCTTCGACTACATGGTCTGCAGAGCTATTTGATTTGTATACATCGGAGTACCCTCCATGGCCACACACAGCGTCATTTCACATCCCAAAAAAAATAATGGCTACTACAGAAGTGTAAGAGAAGATACTCAGATGACCAAGGTCTATAATGAAAATCAGAAGCTCATGTGGCTCCGTCACTAATGGCTAGAGCCCCCACCGCACGCGATAGCGTGCGTACCCGCCTGGTAGTCTCAAATATAGAATGAATGTTCTTTCAAACTTGAAGGTAAGCCTGAGCCAAATCGCCACAGTCCATACTTTTCAAATGCAATATTTAAAGTTCTGAAGTCGGGGATTGTAGAGCTTGACTGGCCGAGTCATTAAGTATACGCAACTTTTGAAAAACAGCTTCCACCTAGTAATAGCAATAACACGGAGAGGACGCAAACTCGCGATTTCCACAACAATTTTGTATTCCTCATGACAGGTACTGACTTTTATGGGCGTTCCCATACCTTTCTCATGGAACCCGGCAGGGAAAATAACTTTTCATGCCACCAACATGACGATGAAACAAAATGTCAAAAAAGCGGTAAAGGACCAGTACCGGGGAAGGCTTCTTCTGGGCGAACTTCGATCGTAGGCAGGAAACGTCTGGACTGCAGTTTAGCTCCTCACAGAGCACTGAAATATCCCAATGGGTTCCCATTCTGGTCACGATTTATTAGATCACGAGAAGCCTTTTTGCCCGATCGTACTTGATATTGCCCTCCTTACATAACCTGCCTTCTTACGGCCTCTGACTGACTTCTTACAGTGTTGACTCGTCCCTTCTGTCCCTGTTCAGTTATGAACCTAGACCTACACTGTGCGCTTGTCGGATAGGTACACACTTGGCCGTAGGATGTCCCATGTGAGCCCATCGGGCTTGTTGCGCGCGTCCGTTAAAACTAGGTCATGCCGCAGCCGCCGCATGCGGTGCGTCATCCCCCGATTTTTGACAGATGTCGCAGCTGTCAGTGGGGCATACGATTTGCGCTTGTTTCACAGCAGTCAGCCAAAAGGAGAATAACAGATAACAGAGAAATGCAAGTCATTCGCTCCACTGACACTCGGTAATACTGTAATGTCATGCCAAGACCTCAGTTGGGGTGCGCCGCGTGCGGAGTAGGCGACCTACTTTCAACGGACGCGAACGATGGACGTTCTAAGAGCCCATCCGACAAGCGCACAGTAGAGGTTTAGGTTCACCATTCGATAGCGGCAGAAGGAATCAGCCCCTCTGTGAGTATTATACTTTGAGATTCTGTCTTCCTTGTTCTGAGTTAATTAGCTTTGATGATTAGGAAATTGGACAACAAAGGTTCATAACCTTTTCACCTATTCAATTTGCTCCGATATGCATCCTTCCAATAATAGGAGACAGAAGACCTTTGAGCTGCCTTAAAGGCACAGTCCCCGATGATTTCGAGATATCCGTTTATATTCGAAAAGCGGAAGTATAGGTTGGGAACAGTTTATCGATAATGAAGAAAGCGAGTGAATTCGCCGATTTCGAGAAAAATATGTTTCCTTAAAAGTAGGGCAAATAGAAGTTGGACGAGATTACCATGACGAAAATAACATGGAAGGGGTATTCGGACGAGATTCCAGTTGCTGCGATTGCGCAAAGAACTGACTACATCAAGCCAGAACTGCACACTAGCCAGAACTACCTTCCAATGTCACTACTGATTCATGACAAGTTTGATCGCCCTACATTGGCTTCCTTGCAATTGGTGCAGCCTTTACAATGCCGGTGAAAGCCGTGCGAAGATACACAGAGTACAATCTTTGAGCCTCCATAAAGCTCTAACTAGGCCGTCTTTAGGTATGACAATGCCCTATACGGCATACGGGGGTCCTACACATTCGCTCTAGCGAGATATCTTAAAAGTCATTTTTGTCGTACACTGTGCCTTCAATGGCGTGCCGAAACACCCATAACAATGGTATTTATTTACGCAGATATAAGGTAGTTGATGTACTTTTTGATTCTAGGTATTAGAGGGTAACAGCTTCAGTGTCACACTTCTAGTGCATATTTAGCACCACACCTTCGGGACGCAATATACTCAAGTTCAATCTACATGCGATTAGTCTGGGCTCCTACCACAAATACAGCGAAGAGTCAAATGGGAAGCTCCTACGTTCATGACTTCATTTGATGACTTCATGACTTTAAAACAAGAATCCAAGAAGATCGAGTCCTACTCTGCCAACAGTGACAACTAATGAAGACTAAATTCATTTATTTACAACTGTGAAGTAAATATGAGAAAACAACAAGTGTTGCAGATTAGCCTTAACATAATTAAAACTTTCTTATTTCATTGAACACTTCATTAGTTATCAACAGAAAAAAATTCAAGCATGAACACGCTCACAGAAATGATACCTCTGCAGAAATTGAAACCGCTAATCGTTGATGGCTCCAACCGATCTAGGATCTATTCTTCCCACCCACTATCATACTGACTTAGTTTACATCGTAATTTTCGAAAGTACACACGTAGACGACCCAAAACGTTTACCACTCGGATGTGGCATTAATCATCACAGTTGAACATTCAGATGAAAACACTAAATCACTTTATAATAAGAGGCTCTATTACTGTGTAAAACAAGAAATGAAAAGAACAGCCGTGCCCAACCTTGCTTTCCGGGACTTCGTCACAGGAACTGAGTCGAATTACCATTCCAATTTGCATTATCATCGTCGCTGTCATCATTAGTATTATGAAGCCTGCTCGTGTTACCTCTCTGAATTTCAACAGTTTGACATGAGGAATGAACTGCAACATCTCTATCACGCAACAGCATTTTCTCAAAGCACATGATGAAGTCTTATTCCCTCAACTAAAAAGTGGCCACTGTCTGCTGTGGGGACGGTTTCTTTCCTCTGATACAGTAGGACTAGTACATATAAGACAACGCTGAAGACAATCACACCTCATAGTGCTACATCCAGGCACCGCCGACAGACTGACGATCAAGGATCCTTTTGAGTTCAAAGTAATGAATGGCCTCAACAGCATTCACGAAGCCTCACCCTGCAGTGGCAATGGACCCAGCGTTTCTCTGCATCGCTATAATCGTGTCTTTTTTAACTGAATCTTCTTGTTGGAGAATGCCGTGATATAGGGATTTGCAGTTTGAGCAGAAAAGAAATGAAGATGGAGGGGGAACCAGGGGAAGAATCGTGAATCCCCTGAGATGGTTCATGGATGAAAAACGCCATGGGTTCCGCTGATCAGCCATGTTTAAAGGCACTGTTCACGAAAAAATGGTTTTGGAGATTTGCACATGGTTTGAATTCGACCCCCCCTCTGATACCATTTGTGCAGGAATGAGGTCGGAAACGGTCTGGATAGGGTACAATAAGGGGCCGGAGAGTGAGCCACGGTCGCCCTTCGCCCCTCGCTAGGCTGACTACGAAATCTAATTGCCGTTCACCACTTTCTCATTAGAGCGAAGTTGGTGAAAAATCGATAAGCTGGTTGGCAAATTGCCAGAGTCTGCCAGTCAGATTGTCAGCCAAATTGGGTGTGTTGTCTGCTATTGCAGACATTGCGTCGCCTTTGTGCACTCGCCCGAACACTCCCTTAACCGCCGTTCTTCCAATGTGAACTCGTCCAAACCCCCTTTCCAGCTCTTTTTTGACCCTTTCTATTTCTTTTTGTTCATCGTTTTTTGCGCTCTTTTCGTTGTTATCGCTTTATTCTAGAGTAGTTCTATCACTTCCCGTCAAAAAAAGGTACCATAAATTTATCGTAAACGGTGCCTTTAAAATGGAGCGAACATTAGCAACTTCTCCTTTGTTTTCTTCACATCAAAAACTTCGCAACCAACAAAGAGGAAAAATCTTGAAATGAAGGTTGTCTTCTTTTCGTCAGAGGTGCTATGAGATAAGATAGCACCACCATTATCTGTATAAGAACACCAAGAGTGTCAACCACCACTGTACTAACCCTTGCTGAAAAATGCACTCTACCCTGCCAAATGTTGAAATCCAAAGCCATNGAAACATTTGTTGGCTGCATTAATGCAGCACAGAGTACAAAAAAGGATTCGGAGTATATCGACCCCCTTGCCTGTATAACGTTCAAGTGCCCAGTGAGACACCTGTTAGATACTGGAAGAGAGACAATGAGTTCAGCAGACCAGACTTCAGCACACTCAATCAGATCGCAACCTGTCTAGACCTTTTCAAAATCACTCGATTATCAGTTGCTTCTCGAGAAAACCTTCATGAGCTTCAGAAGCACAGCAAAAGTGCTTCTATCGGTGTACATCGCACTAGGATCACTTCGTCCCACTTGCGAGTTTGTGGGAAGATTCCATTAGCGACAAAATCGATGAAGAATACAGCCGGCTTGTCGAGCATCTTCACAATAGCGCTAGGAAAGCAGAGTGTTTCAAAGATGTTAAGAAATGTCTATCGTCCAAGACTCTCGAGCTGATACGCCAGCGTGGAATCGCGTGAGCTGCAGGCAATAATTAGCTACGTGCGGACTTGCGAAGCTATGCAGAAAAAGGTAAAAGGAAGATCTGAAGAAGAGAAGAGCATGCTGGCAAGAGCATTCGCGAGCCCGCCGGAGCTTCGCCAATTGTAAGACCAAGACGAATTCCCCTCATCGTCCTGACGGAACAGTTATGCATCTCAAAGGGCAATGAACAAGGTCATCAACGAATTTTACCCTCATCTCTTCGACATCCACGTCTACCTGTCTACCTACCATCTTAGGCAAGAAGGATATGTTGTCCCTTCGATCTCCTCATGACTATGGAAGCAGCCATACGGGCATCGCCCCAAGCATACGGGCGAGGTTGGTGAAAGAGTCGTTAAGTGCAGTGTGTCCCAAACTTATGAGCGCCCATTCATTGCAATGTATTTCGAGCTTCGAACTGAGATGACAATGGAACTTGTATACTCGTTTACTTACATCATATGCAACAACAAAACAATCATCTTTCCAAATATCCCCATTGAATGGAACAGAAGCCTAAAATCTGTTCTCGAAATACTCGTAGGGTAAACACAGGTACCCCCCTCCCCACCTTCAATTCTTCCCAGCTGTTCTTGGGCCTCGCTTTCAGTGAGTCCAAAGTGGGATTGCAAACTCGACAGGTCCTCTTCAATCAGGACCCNAAGGAGCCACGTGGCTTAAGAACTGGAGAACAGGATGACCATTCCATCACTCTTGACCGCTCTTGGCTCTGTTGGCAGGAGTACCGTCCATTTGGGAGGACCACGGGCTGATTGAGGAAGCGGAGTCGGATCAATGCTTCAGTAAATTTACCAGTATGCTGTCTAAAAACATATTTTTGTTGATTTTCATGCCGTCACCGACTAGGCCAACGGAGTCCTTCGTTGGCCGGAACTTTCTCAATTAACATCATTTTGCTGTTCTTATGACAATCTATTCGTGAATGATTGCACTATTGAGTTTATATCTAGAACGCCATCGCTTCCTTTGTTGAGCATAACCTTTGTTGTAAAAAACTTTCCTGTCAGAGAAAAAGATGAACGATACGTGTCTCTACTTTAGTGAGTTTGCAAACTTCTTCAAACTTCATTTTTAATTATACACTGTCTCCAGAGTTCGGGAATAAAATTTCTGCCTCAGAAGTTCCTGAATTTTGGAACACTCTGTAGTAATAATGGTAAGAAAAAGGTCGATGAAAAGCGCAGTGCAAGAAAAAAAAAGGCTAAAAAATGCTAAAATGAAAAACTTTAACCCAGACGAGCGAACTAAAAGCGGGGCCTAACTTACTCGACGAATAGTCGCTCCGGTAGCGCGTGGTTCACGAGGACGTTTCACCTCATCTTGCCTTACACGATCCGAAGCTCCAGAGCCTAAAGATCATGGTTGCAATCAAATGATATATTCAGCTTATGAGAGATTGTATAAGCATAAAAGACAAAGAATCTGTATGTGGCCTATACATTAAGTTGTGATGGCCATCCTACGTCCTAATCAGGGCTTCCATTCCCCCGAACAAGTCTGGTAATAACTAATCGACCACGGACGGATGAAAACTTGGTTGGTCTGGACGAGGATCAAATGCAGATTGGTTGCATGTGAGTGATAGCGCACCAAGTGCCACTTCACCAAACCCACATGCCGAAAACAAACAATTGCTGAACCAAAAACTCTTTCGTTGCAACTCCAAAACATTTTCTAGTAACCGTCTAACCAGACGCCTTGACTGAACTGCGTACGAGTCTCTAACCACGCAGCATGGATCTGCCTTATCTCGCAGAACATAAAGTCTCGCACCAAGGGAGCCGAAGCATTCCTTCTGAAAGGGGGAAGATGCCTACAAAGATTGAACGAGGATCGTCAAAGTGTGGCAAAAACAAGATGTATTTTAGTGTGAACTATTCACTTTGCTATGAAGAGTGAGACCTAACATTTATTGCTGAAAAAGATCCCTAACCTGAACTCCATCCAAGCCATCCTGTGACTAGGTTGTAGATGTACTGTACTGGCGCGAGAATTAACATAGAAAATAATGAGAGAATTCCTCGTAAAGGATTAGCAGACATAATCTGCGATGATCGTCCTTTCGTCTATAAAAGAGACAAACCGTAGTGGAAACTATTTCTAAGCCAGAACATTTTGTAGCAAAGTCCAGCGTAAGAGTGAAGGGCCAAAGTACATAAGCTTTTTCAAATCACCTGAATAATGAGAAGAGTGCAACTGGGCGTCAAACACAAATCAAGAAACGTTCTTTGTAAGTCATCACCAGTGAATACTTTTCGAGGATAAACCTGCGCAATGGAAAATGCACCGCTTACACGTCCATCCTGGAAATTGTAAAACTGATTTAAGAGGATCAGGCTTGTTGCAACTGACTAAACCTTAACATATCACACTTTGAACATTTTAGGCATTATTTCGACTAAAATGGAAGCGATCTAAGCTCGTGTACTTTGAGTGCACTGACTCTTACGACTAATACTACTTGCTGATCACCTGTCTTATAAGATCCACCAAGATACTGAGACAATCGCTGGATGCAAATTCCTCTACAATGTTATCGCCATCTGGAAGCCGAACTTGAACTCGACACCTGAATCAACACGTTACGGTATAACACAGGATCTGAACAATATTATTGATACAGTGCGCAAAGGCCAATTTCCAACGACAATACAATACGGATTTCTGCGCACCTATCAGTAGGGATCGGCTCCATCTTTGGGGCTTCCGGTTGTGTTGGCACATCTTCGGTGCTCGGTTTCATAGGTCTTCCCCGACGTTCTCGAAATTCGCGTTCTTCACTGAATCAATTTTCACATTACGATGTGCCAATGTAACGTAACAGTAGCAACTAATTTTGTCAGCAACACAAAAATCAAAATCCAACCGATCTGCCTTGATCTGGGCAATGAGTCGCTTACGCTCCTTTTCTGCCTCTATTTTATCGCGACGGCGTTGAGCTGCAGCCTCAAGGAGCTCCTTAAAACAAAGTTTCAAACCATCAGCCTAAAATGTTGCTACCAGACCTGCTCATGGCGCTTCTGCTGTGCTTCTTGCATAAGTTTTCCAGTATTGATTCTTTCCAGTTCACGACGCTTTTCTTCTTCTCGTTTTGCCTCTTCATCTGCCTTCTTTTTCTGCTCAAGCAACATTTTCGCTCTAAAAACCGTAGAAAACAATACAGGTGGGAAACTGTCGGCTCGCTAACAATCACCAATCAAACAAGTTAATGTAAGCCCTGAAGAAGTACTTGGAAATAGGTAACCCAACCTTTGGATTTTTTCTTCTAAAGCAGCAGACGAGGGTGGAGGAGACGAGGAAGTAGGGGTCATCTTCAAAGAAAAATAATTTAATCTCAATGTGATAGTCAAGCGTGAAATGAGATACATATACCACTACAGTCTAGAAAAGTGTCTAGACAGTAGATCTGCGTGAATAGGACTCACACATAATTCGAGGATGTTGCGCAAAAATAATACTATTACGCAAAAATAATACTACTACTCATTTCAAATAATTTGATACAAATCGAGCGAAGAAAAAGGAGTAAATGCGCGTAAAAACAAATCGGAACGAGACCTCGAAACCTGTTGGAGAACTCGAGATTTTGAAGAACGAAGAAGTTCCTAACTATCTAACTAAGAACAGATCAAAAAATTAACAGCCCTAACCTCGTGCGATGGGGCAGCAACGGATTGTTGACTCGTACTGTTTTCGGTAGGTGATGCTTTGACGGCAGCAGTGAAGGCCTGTATAATATTGTTGCTATTGAGTCTAATCAAGTAACACTTCTGACAACAAGCTACAAAATCAAGCTTACCTTTACGGAGTTACTTATTTTCAAGAAGAACTCGTCGTAATCAAGATCCTTGAGCAAAGTGATTACTTCAATTGGCTTTCCCAAATTATCGATGAAATAAGAAGCAGGTAACACTGGAGTCGGGTCTTGAAAAATACTCTTTGAACTAAGGTAAGAAAACGATAACGACAACGTTCACTTCACTTCAAAAGTCTTGTCTTGTAACGTCGGTTTTTATAGGAACCTTTTCAGCCTTCGGGTCATCGCTACATTCTAGAACGCTTTAGTAGTAGCCACCCGTAATGTTCAAACAGGTCTCAGTGTGCTCTTGTAGACCAAGTCGCGACCGTCGAGAGGTCAACTGCGCGAAATCATTCCGTACGTAGGGTGCCGCTCTTTCAATACCGTTAGCGACAACACTGCATCAGAGAGTATCTGCCATTCGTGTGACCATTACCCGTTCGAACATTCGCTTTCAATCTGGGGATACGACGCACGACGATGATTTTCGCTTCTGCATGACCATAATCACTGATGATGACTAAGTTCTCTGCGATTCAAGTAGAAGACGTAAGCTACTAGCAGAAAATTGGCACAGCTTCTAGGATGCAATCAGAGCAACCTTTCGGCACCTTCACTATCACGGTTACGGAACTTTCTTGCTCGATGGTTACGCACCGACTGATCGGCAATCACCTTCTTGCGCGTGTCTCAGTCAGCCACTTTCTTCTCCTCACATCATCTAATCTGAGTTTCTGCAGGATCCAGCATGTATGGGAGCTGGGAGCTATATGACAACAACACGAAGATCGCTGTCTCGGACAAGATTCGCTGATGCAGATCAAGGCAGAACAACACCCAAGGAAGGCTCTGATTTGCTGCACAGAGTTTAAAGGGCTATACCACGAGTTTCTTCCTCATGGTCAGACAGTAACGACTGCCAGCAGTGAGCTCCGGGAATTTGCTCCTGCCGTCAAGAAAACCTCAGCACAATAGCGTTTGGGCTCACATAGCAAAAACCACACATTCCAGGTTACAAAATCTTGGCTGAGAATTTGCTCTCTCGCTATTTCCCTGACCACATCTTTTCTGATTATCACCTCACCTTCTTAGGCACTTTAATTACTTTCTGGTCAAAAAGAAGAGCCTTTTTCCGATTACCGTAGAAATGCTGTGAGAAGTTTCTTCGACTCACAGCCCTCATTCTGGGATGTGAATAGCCAACTAGCCACTTCTTCGAATGAATGCCGTAGATAACGATGGCGGGTCATATTTCAATGAATGGGTTTGAAATAAAGTTGTCAATGATTCAAATCCGATTGTCTCGAGATTTTCACGCCAACCTAACAAATCAATTAGAGGTGACGAAGTAGAACATGTGGATGTATAGCTCATGGCATCCTCTGAGGGCCGAATTTCTAAGGAACAACATGCAGTAGCGCTCAAAAGTCTTCGGTGAAATGCTTTTTCGCTTCTTCCTTCATAACTTTTTTCTTAGAAGACCAACTCGCGCGAAATTTGGATATGTTTAACTAGAGCATATTTCACCCTACCCNCGGGTCATATTTCAATGAATGGGTTTGAAATAAAGTTGTCAATGATTCAAATCCGATTGTCTCGAGATTTTCACGCCAACCTAACAAATCAATTAGAGGTGACGAAGTAGAACATGTGGATGTATAGCTCATGGCATCCTCTGAGGGCCGAATTTCTAAGGATCAACATGCAGTAGCGCTCAAAAGTCTTCGGTGAAATGCTTTGGCGCTTCTTCCTTCATGACTTTTTTCTTAGAAGACCAACTCGCGCGAAATTTGGATATGTTTAACTAGAGCATATTTCACCCTACCCAACATTCTTCGACTGCAAAGCTGCGATATCCACAGATAGAGCAAGGGGTTTGTTGCGGTAGCCGATTTTGCTAATAGTAAAGTTGTTGACGTCTGCACTTATTCGCACCTTATGTGCGTTTTCTCATCTATTGTGTTCGGCATTACCGCTCGTACACTTTAGATATGACAAAAAGAAAAGAGATCCTATTAGAAGGACCATCTGTATTTTCAGTCGATTTTGAATTCATGCTCTGGAACACCTGGAACATGATCAGATTGCAGATTAGTAGTGGTAAATATTCACAATACACCCACGCTCCAAATACAGAAATTTTGCATGATTAGATCCAGTAGGAAAGGAGTTACGACTGAAAAGTATGACTGAAGAAGCATTTCACCGAAGACTTTTGAGCGCTACTGTACATCCATCCACCCTCAAATTGAGCTGATGAACTATCCACACGCAATTAGCGCTATGACCATCGTATAACTGTCCACCTACGAAGTAAATATACATTTCCAAATCAATATCAAATGCTTGTCACATCACACCAATGTAGTCACACTGTTGATTATCTTCAGTATGAAAGCAACTTACAAATTTGAGCGAACTGTTTTGCGGCTTCGTCTCCTTCCATCAAATGAATACCAACAAATGGACATTCGAAAAGAGAAGGCTCGATCTGAACAACGACCATTCAACGAGTCGGAATTTAGAACAGTTCCAAAGTTGACGTTTTTTGGTCAGAAACCACTGATCGAAGTTCTTCGGCGAGGGCTTTTTATGAACGCCTGTGGTAAAAAGATAAAATATTACCATGTCCCACAGCTCTCGCATCTTCTCTCCTTTGCCATTTTTGCTTTCAATGAATACAATTAGTAGAGCATTATTCTTTCGCGATACTTGGACTGCTGTGCTTACAGACCCAGCAAACCACTTCATCTGAATGCAAAATATGCTCAAATAGGCCTAGAGACTAAAATACGACGAAACCACATGGAAAGAGATGACAGGAGAAGCACACGGCTTCAATTCGACGTCATCAATACCAAATCGACAAAAATTAGCGGCAAGAATAATGTGTTGTACGTGACTACACAACAAAAACTCGACGACGACTTTTTATGCTTCGTCTGGAATTGTCGTAATATTTAACATGAGAGTTTTTGTGTAGGACTGTTTGTGCTGTGAGTAGCGAATTATGGAATTGCTGGTGGTTTTGCAGTAACGTATACGATTGTTTTTATCTGGTCATGTTTCGGGGTGTAGATTTAGCTGCGAGTTACTTATAAATCTTTTGAAAGCAATCAATTCCTTTGTGAGTCCATTCCCTAAGGGCCTACTCTACCGCTGAGCAACGTGCTTAGTTAACCACACTTATATGGATAGTACCTGCTAAGTTGCCGATTAACGAAGCAACAAGTATCTCTCTTATATATAAAGCAGTAACTTGGTGTGTCGGTTTGTCGGTTTGTTGGTCTGTCCGTCCGCAAAACCTTATGATTACGATAAAAGTAGTGATATAGGAAACCCAGCTTTCACAGACTTCACAATATAGCTTGTTTTGACTTGATATTTTCTTACTTGCAGTTATTTTGCCGCAGTACGCGATTCGTATGTCTCACAAGGTTGGTAAATTATGGAAATAACTTCGGCCTCGGACGGAACTCGAACCCTTACTTGTGCTAACCGGCGGGCACCGTGCTCCTTATCCCAAGCACGTTATCTTATTTACCAGTAGGTTCGCCCGGGCTTCCCTCCTTCTTTGACAAAGATGTAGTAATCGGCTAACTTTCTTCTTCTTTGAAACAAATAATATTTTCCTGTACACGAAATTTGACACAGGACTAACAGGGCAGCGCAAATGTTATTCAGTGTAAGTCGGTGCTCACGCTTTAATTGGAAGTCTCGATCATTGCTCTCGTTCTTAAGCATAAATACCCTCAAATATTCAACTGTTAGGTAACCAAAGCCTTGCGCGGTACTCACCAATGTTTCGAGTGATGATAACACCGCCATCAAATGTCGTTATCTATGGACCTTTTTCTTTACGGAGATATCATAAGTTATGAATTCCAGATAACTGGCGGTCGTTTAAGTTTTGTCGCAATTGATATCGAACAAAGAGGATTGTTCAATGGGTCACGGACCTTGTTGGGTAGCGGTCGTAGCAAGAAATGCACAGAATTCCCTTCACTTTATCGTAGTGCTCCTTATGGGTCCCTATCACTGCATTTACCACTCACTTTTATCATCGCACTCTACCATTCCATCTTATCAAATGAAATATACTGAACAGTCAGAGCTACATCGTAAATACCAGACGTTAGGATTTTGATCGGTGGATGGCCTGTCAGGTCCCTTATCTTCTCTTATCAGTTATTGTCGGTTCTTGTCACCAGTACTTACGATCCCGTCATATTCTACATCACTTATTGAAAAGCCGAGGTTCCACTTCGAATAAGAATAGCTGTAATCCTACGGAATTTGAACTCCTTCGGTTCACGGGGACCGGAGTTATGAATTCCTGCTCTACCATTTATTTCGCGCACGTCCCGCCCCCTGTGGGCGAAGTGCGATCCTGCTACCTGCCATAAGTGTTCTCATCCTGCCTCCTGTACTCTTACCAAATTTCAACGTCTAGATACACGTAAACGGGAGTTGCGGCTCAAAATTTCTATTGCGCACGCACCGCCCCCTGTGGGCGGAGTCCGGTCCTACCACCTGCCATATTGTTCCCATACTGCCGCCCGTACTCCTACTAAACTTGAACTCTCTAGGTCCACAGGAACAGTGTTATTAATTTCCGGTCGGACACCCACAAAGACACACACGACAGACACACCGACAAGCCAACAGGCACACTTAGCGAATTATATATAGTTGGATCCTCTAGCCATTAAGAAGGCGAGGTCTCAGTAGTGAAATTTTTCAAAACCGTTGTCGAGAACACGAGATAAGTTATTTTTTACAAAATCTTGGATGCAACTAGCTTTAAAATCATTATTTTTCTGGCCCTGTAATCTTTTCTTTACAAAGATCGATAACTTTCAATTCTTGTCATATTTGAAGAAAATCCGAAAGTTCCCTAAAATGTGGGCCTCGCATGCAAGCACGACGAATGCCATGGCAGATGAAGGACTCCGTTGCATAGTGTCTTCCTGCTCCCTCTTAAAAACACAATGAATTATCTAAATTCGCCTTTTGCACTTTCTGTTTCGGACACACTTTTCTTATGACCCTGTAGTGAAGAAGTTTTTAAGAGAAGTTGATTCGCTCTTTACAGGATGTCATTAGCAAGCTTACAGCTGAATCCAGCAATCGCCAAACCGACCAGCAATGGCCAAGTGCAATGTATAGTGTGCAATTTACAGGTGAGCATTTACTGACTGCCGATCTACAATCTTTATTTTTCTCTTTTCTGGCCAAACCATACACTTCCACCTCTAGAGTTACGACTCGTCGGGAAAATTACGTGATGATTTCGCTGAACTGAAGCAGAATACTTGCAATGGTTTTCGCTAATGTTCTCAAGTGTTGCTGAAAGCAGGGCTACTCACTTTTTATAAAATCGAAATGTGTCTTTGACATTCCTTCATAAGGAGATTTTCGGGCATTTTGTTTGGTCAAAATCGGAAACTTCATAACTCTTCATCCTTTTTACTGGCTCGCTACAGCTATTTTATCCAAGATGATGAGAGCGGATGGCTGTCTGTCGCTCATGTCTCTTGGTATTATTACCCGCGGGAGATGGGTATAAAACAGGAGCGTTTTCAGAACCAATCGGCAAAATTGCTCTATTATGGGAAAAAATCAATTTAGGGCTAATGAGTGGGAACAGTTTGACGTAAAACTTAGGAAATGATTCGTAATGGCATTCAGCCCACTAACAAACATAATAGTTAACTTCGATGACAGCAGAGTAAATGAGTTTAGACTATGATGAAGCGTGGAGATAAAATAGAGAAAGATAACATGTAGTAACTCTTCAAAGATCAATTAAAGCAGGTCTTCAGCGATGCCATGCAAGTTAGTTAGCAAAACTTGTGCGACTTTACTGACCGGGCAACTCCTTTATAAACTTATTCCGGAATTCCTTATTACTGTGGTGTGTGGTGAATTACTGTGGTCTTTCGTGGGTTGTCAGTGTTGTTGTGCTTTCTTCATTCCCTGTAGTAAGGAATGATCGTTCCTCAATCACGAGAACGCGTGCTTCTGCACTCTTTGTAGCGCAGCCCACTTCGATTTCCTTCCTCAGGCATTAAGCCTCGCCCACGCGAGCTAGATGGCTGAGATTAGTTCGCTCATCACACTGTGGATATCGAATTCCTCCTCTATCAGCTCTTTAGCAATATTTTGAGCAGTATGTCTTTTCGATCACACTTGTTTTTGCATGATCTCTACTCCAGTCTTGTATAGCTTTTCTAGTTTGTCTTGTCCTTCTTATAATACTTGGCCAATGCCACATTGAGGGGGAGGTATAAAGAACCTCAACTGTTTATATGATTTTTCGTCCACTGTGAGATGTCCCTTGGTTTTTTAGGGAGTTGATTGGCGTGAACTAAAAATGGAAAGCAACCAATCTTCAGTAATTCATTAACGATTCAGTTCATTCAAGCTTATGGTGGAACCCCGTTCGATGCTATCAAGTACTAAGAAAGTTCAACTGTTTGGCGTCTCATACTAGCCGGCTTATAAAGGCCGATCAGAAATGCGGGGTGATTCAGTGGTTAATGTTTACGTCGATGACAGCAGAGTAAAGGAGTAGAAAACGTGGTGAACATCACCGCTACCTCTTGTCCTTGACGTTGTTCGAAAAAATATACAGGCCCACTTACCTTGTTTCGGCTTGACCCTATGTCATCCAGTGATGGGGGTTGAGTTGAGGAGTCTTTTCTTAGAGGAAACGACAAGGAACTAGGAAGGGGTCATCGCCGAGGACGACGATGATTGAAAAAGTTTTTTTCTTACCTTTATTATATGTCTATTTAATCGGAGTTCTGACCGATCTCGACTAATCTAGTGCTTGATCCCGGCATAGAACAATTTGCAGGGAAGGCCCTCTCTGATAAAAGGATAGCAGTGCGAACTAAGGCAAAGAAAACCAAGACCACAAAAAGACTAGAGCTGCTTTTGTCCTTGAAATGGGTACATGTTACCGAGTTTACATGAAATCCAGGTGGTCCGATGTTTCTTTTCATCGAAGCGTGCTTATTTTTACTTCATCAATCTAGGCTAATGTGGTAATGTTTAAACATCGGCTTATCCACAGGTGATCATATAACACTCTGCAGGTGAAACCAAAGATTTGGACTGCTCATGTGAATGGGAAGAAACATAAAGAATCCTGCGAGAAGCTCAAGCAACAGCTGGCCATCAGTGCAAAACGAGCTATCGAAAAGTCGCCCGTGCAGAATGAAGCACCGCCAAAGAAAAGAATGAAAGGTCATTTGATAAAACTGATTGAGTGGAGGATCCCTCATCGAATTCACCCCATTTAACTTCAGACTCATCGGCGCCGACGTCAACTGGCCCACTTCCACCAGATTTCTTCGATGACGAGCCAGCCTTAAAGTACGTTGATGTTCGGTATTGCTCAGTTTTCGGTCTTTAGCACGTGACCTTTTTGAGTGATTACTTTTCTATTTGTTTCACATTGTCCCTTATTTAGCATTCAAACACCGTGGCAGAAAGCAAAAGAAGATGAGGCTGCCCTCCTGCGTGAGCGAAAAGGAATTATTGAGGGAGTCCCACAAGGTTTCTTCGATGACAAGAAAAAGGATGGAATGGTACGTGGGCGTCGTCGGTTGCACAGGTTTCTGATTGCTTGTATTCAAGGTGAGGGAAACAATCGTTAATGAAGCACACATGAACGAAGAGTACGAGCGGCTAATGCGCGAGCTGACAGAGAAAAATGTGGAAGATGAAGCGAAGGTAGAACGAAGGTTTTTTTTTGCTGTCATTTTCTATCCTTTTTCTTCAAACTTTCGAACATACATGAAGTAGTCCTTTTGGTCCAGGCAGAGGAGGAGGAGGAACGAGATGCTCTACTACGTGATCTTGATAATGCCGACGAACAAATGGAGAAGTGGATGCGGTTGAACGCTATGGAAAAGTTGAAGGAGGCTAGACTTCAAGAGGTAACGAGTTGAATTTGTGTGGGAATTTCGCAAATCTCCAGGCTACAAATGGCGCACTTTTGTTACGTGACGATTTTTGTGAATCAGTGAAATCCGCGGCATCACATACGCTTAGTTTTGAGGAACGCTGTCTTGAAAAGTTTTTCGGTGCAGGTTCTGGTAGAGTTCGCAAGCAAGCCCATGTTTTCCGTGGTTCATTGTCTCCAAGAAGTGGGATGCTGTAAACAGCGGCCCAAATTTTGGACAATCTAGTTTGTCACTGCTACGAACTGAGACCAGGAGTGGTCCCCAATTGTTTCTTCTGCAACATGGCCTTATTTGAATACATTAATCCTAAACACGTCCTGTATGAGAAAAATCGCGGACATCAGTCTGGTGGGTCTTTGCTTAGCTTAACCTCAGAATCAGGCGTTCGACTGGGAGCATGCAGCTACGTTGTCGTAAGAGTCGAGTATCTGTCCTGATTCCTTCATTTTGTGGCTTGTCTTACACTGGCATGGCATCCCTTTCTGGTTGAATTGGGGGCATTTAGAAATCGGACATTTCGATATTAATTGGTAGCGGCCTACCTATACCAATCAAATCGCTACGGCGATACTCATATATACTTACTCTATTCATCAAAGTTTGAGTCCCCGTAGTTTATAACGAGGTAAACTATGAACACCCCGTCAGCTAGAACCGTTTTGACTGCTATCAACTGATCCGATCTGCATCATTGTGACAAGCGAAAATCATGACCTTTATTTTGTTGCTGTTTTGTTTTATCAATCATGATCATAAGCGAGCCCATATTCCCATCGATTACTACAGCATAGAGTAGTAATAGTGACTTGTTCCACAGCAATATCATTCAGGCGCGAGAAAAAACCACAATTGGCGACGATGACGACGAGGGTAGCGATGACGACGATGCTGACTTCACAAATTGGCGAGCGAAGCGTGTACTTTGATCAGCAGATCTCACGAGCATGTTCAGAACTTTGAAAAGGAAGCTCTATAATTGCGGGTAAACTTCATTCATGTGTGTGATGAATTGATACGCTATTTTATAGTACGGCTTTTAATCAACACCATACAGAGATCGAATACCGACAAGCGTAATATATAGATATAAATATTTGGGTAACGCTGAAGAGCTTAGAACATAGCAAAGATGGAAACAACAACAAATTAATAGGAAAACAAACTCTCCGCATGAGTGACCAAACAATCAAATGAGTGAGAAAAAGTAGGCTAGTGATGGGACAATGAAGAATTTTCTTAACGGTACAACAGTAATTTTGGGTGTGTTTGTTCACAACATGCACCATCTACAAGAATTGTACAGATAACAGAGCTTAATGAAAAGACCTGGATGAAAATTCGATAAGTAACCCGCCGAATCTTCCGTTAACACAAGGACTCACCAACATAACAATATGAACAAAAAATGGGATGAATGCACTTCAAATGTCATTCGTCTTAATTAATCTTCATCTGAGGATAGAATTTCACCATCCGATAATTCTCGATCTACCGGGCGAGGCTGCTTTGGTGGCTTCGGCTGCGGCGGTGGAGTCGCCGGTTTTCGACGAGGCGGAGTACGCACATCGTGGTTGCGATGAGGCGGTGATCTTGGTCGACGATCCATCTAGATAGACCCACAATCAACTAATGACATAATGTAATTATGACGAGATCAGAGAAGAAACACAAAATTGCACCTCAGTTACCCAAAAACATTTGATTTTATAACAATTGAGTTTTGATATAATAAACACATGAAAGTTCCCACATCTCTCCGCCGGCGATCGTCTCCAAAAGGACTACGACGACGACTTGGTATTTTGTAGTCGCGCTCGCGTCGTTGATTACTTGACTGTGGTTGCGAAGAGGGCGGTACGACGGACATGCCAAGCAGTGATGGAATCGGCGATCTGTCACGGATACGTTCCGGGAATCTGTCGCGACCACCCGCTGCTCGTTCCGGTCGCTTTTCACGCTCGTGCGTGTCTTCGAGACCTCGGCGGATGACTTGCATACGATTAACCTGAACGTCTTCCGTTTATGATCGTAAATATCCAGAATTCATTTGATTGAAGGCCTAACTATAGTATATCTCCACCAACCTCTACAGATAAGGTTTGCATTTCGTTATAATAAGTGTCCACTTCATTGAGTGTTGAACGCAGCATCCCCGTCAGCTTCATGTATACTGCACGCATATCTTCGGGTGGGATCGTTCGCAAGTCGATACTACCCTAAATATCGCTAATGCAACACATGTATAGTTGCAAACTGCTACACAAAACTACGTTTCAATCAAAATACTGCCATTTTGAGAAATAAGGCCAGCCACAAGAGGAAATATAACATAGCTCTTACTTTCAAAAAAAAAACTGGTCGTGAATCTCCAGCTGTTTTTTTTTTCACAGTGTCCCGCTACATACAAAGCGCTATGTTCAAGTGTGTGTATGTGAGCGGCATTTTCTGACCCTTGTTCCCGGTGGACTTTACAAAACGTTTAAATTGGAATGATACATTGGCAATATGGAAACATCTATGGTAGGTGGCAAGACTAGACTCCCCCACAAGAAGTGGGGTGTGAGCAAAATGGGCTTATCACGAAAAAAGTATGCAGTCAACGTGGAATAAGCAAGGAATGAACCAAGTTACTTGAACATATACTCGAGGTGGGCTCGCTCTTACCGTTGGGACACGCAATACATGTGTCGGAGTGTGTTTGACCAGAGATACACACTCCTCTTCTCCTAGACCCACAGCGTAAAAAGTAAATTGGAAGTAATGAAAGCAACAGGCCAAATTCAACCTTAAAAGTAGGATGTGTGGCTTGGGTCGGGGGATGGACTGCTATCAAAATATAACAGGCGCATACCTTCCCATTCGTTTTCAGCAGCTCCTCCACCATTTCGCTGATTCGCGCGTCATCGATAGTGATTAAACGAGGAGGGATCTTCACCCAAGATGCAATATTCATCAAATCGGCGTCTTTCTTTTCCTTAGCCAGAATAAACAGTGGATCTGAAGTGGCTCGCATAAGCTATTTTCACTCATTATAATATACGGAACAAGGAAATATTGAAGTAACGACTCACTAATCCACAACGCTGTATAATTGTCTGGGTTTAAAATGTCGAACGGTTCACTTATCATCAAGCTTTCTGTTGGCGAATCGGTTCCCAGAATCACGTCCACACCTTCAACGGAAAGAAATTAAGATTTCCGAAAAACTCGTGCTTAGCTTTCCATTGAAATAAATTGTAAGAGACACTTACTGATTGGAAGCTCCGGAAGAGTCGCTGGGAAAGCTCCACGAAGAACAAATTCACGTCGCAATTCCATCAAAATCAAGCCAAGGCGATTCCCACCCAGGTAAGACGGGCGAAATGCCATCGGTCGCGTGCACAACTCTAGTAGCTACAAATATGCAGGTTATCAAAAGCTTCCCTCTCTTGTACATTCTTGATGAGGTAAAACTGCGAGACCAGCTGCCACAAACGCCACAACTTCGGAACTTCTTTGAAGTTGCATAAACGCTTATCTAGAGATGATCATACACGTTTGATTTATTACTATTTGAATCGAGTATTCTGCAAGGGAGCTGCTTGATAAAAAGTGTTTTTTAATCTCTGGAACACGGTCCTTGGAACAGAAAAAGTGACTCACTTGCTTGCTAGAAATGTCTACTGTGTATAACCATGCCCGTAGGTCTGACTCGCGCATTCCAATAGATAACTCTGTCTCCATCGAGCAAAATCTTGCGCAGTATACCTAAACATAGAAATATGGAAAAACAAGGCATACGCAATCCTACCATAGAAAAGCTCTGTATAAAGGTCGCTCTATCTACGATGTTCTCCATTCAATCATGGTATTCCGCTTCTACATACCAGCATGGCATCACCCGTATCCAACAGAGCACGAAGAAGAGGAGGATGTTGTTCGAAAAGCATGGTTAAAGCATCTTTGATTGCCTGAAGTAGCAGGCAGAATGAGTGCAGTGATCATCTAGTTAGGCTGTGATCAGTTTGAGCTCGGCTACCTTCTGCCTTCTCTCCATCCACCAACTTTGCTCTCTTTCTAGCCCCCGTCCTTTCGCTTCTATTGTTTCATGTAAGCGTTCCCAACACTCAAGGGATGATTCCGTATCCATGACATACTCTGTATCCTCAGCATTGAAGCCAAGATACCTGAAGAGGCAACGAATCTGTTGTGAACGAAACGAGCACCAGAAAAACATGCAAAAAACTATCTCAACGAGCGAACTAAATTTCCAACTCACTTCACCGCTTGACTAGCCACAAAGTGTGCTGGTGAAGCAAATAGTGGTTGTCCCTCAACAACTTGAATTTCAGCAGGATAAAGTGGGTGGAACACGGACTCGGCAGTAAAGCAGATCACATTCGTACTAACGATTGAGGATAAACTGGCAGTGTTGAAGTGTGATATCTGAAACACTCAATGTAGACATAATCATCGTGAATCACTTCTGCTTTCAAAGGTCCATTCAAAATCGGAAGGCATGAGGGACTTAGATGTCTTTACCTCTTGAATCATTTCAGCATTTATCAGTTGTTCTCAATTCCTGTCATTCTATCCTATCTAAGAACCCATACGAACCCAATGCACTAATTAGGAAAATTTCAAAAAAAAAAAACTATGATAACCGAGGACCCAAAATTTTGCCTTCGGAGTGCCTCATCGGCCTTTATTAATTTTTTGTGAAACCCTCGGAAGTCGTGACCGTAATTAATTCAATCAAAAAATAAAAATAAGACGCAGTTAACTTTACCAGCGGTATCCGACTTTCCGTCTGCGATGCTAGTTTCACTCGAAGTTCCATGAGAAGTAAACCGGTTTTGTTGCCAACAAGGTGTGACAAGGTTTTCGGTGTTTTGTCATCCTGAAACGTAATAAGAATTCGAAACAAATCGAAGTTGAGAAGAGCTTCTTTTTTGAAAAAGAAAACTGAATTAAGCTTAAGATTCTTCATCTATAGTGTGAAATAAAATCTGCAAAATGAAAATTTCAGACACTCACCTTATTTCTCATCCATTTTATCAGATCGGCAGGTCCTACATAAGGCTTCGTCAACAGTCGTTGCATTTCACGTTCTGATGAGGCGCAGGTCCACATGGGATCACCCTCTGAACGCAAAATACCAATTAATGTACAGTTAAGAGCAAGGAACAACAACAAGACATCTCTGTAACAAACCGCAGCAATCTATGAGGAGTGCATCACCGGTGCTCAGTAAAAGCTGTTGCAAATACTCATTCTGAGCGATTTTATGCTTCATAGCTGACTGCCGCCATCGATCCATTTTGGCCATTTTGGCTTCAATGGCAGACTCAGGAATCTTAAAGGATGACACGCATAAAACAGTTCGAAAATTTTAGCTCGAAAGCAACTAGCCTCCTGCTTCTTGAAGTATCTCCTTGCCATCGTAGCAACGTCTACTGGCAAGACGGTGGTTTGTACTTTTTCAATGCATTTATCGTCCAACTTCAATGCAATGAATAACTTTTCGTAAGCATAGTGCTCCACTGACCGATAACGTTCTCCTTTCATTTCAAAAGGCAATGGGTAGTAATTACTCAAAGGACGGAAAATACCCTGAACTTATGGACCTTCACTCAGTGAAACACCTTAAAATAAACACAGTATACAAAAGAATTAAAGTACCTGGAGTGAAATAATCTGGTCATTAACTTTGATCTTGATAGGATTGTCATCATTGTCCGTAGACAGACCTTCGATCTCAGTCGGCTGTCGATTCAGCATTGCAGCTTTTCTCTTTTCACGAACCTCGAATCGTAGCCACATGAGGAAGAACCTATGAACAAGTGGCTACTTGGTAAACAAAATATGCAGCAGATGGAACACATTTATGGATGAGAATAAAATTATTTCAACGCCTTACCCCATCTGATTACCCCCTAGTGCTGGCGGTTTTGCAGCTTCGTTCTTCATCCAAAACTCTACCATTTGCGAATCAGCTTTTTCACGAGCCATCCACTCTACGAACTGGTTTTCATCCATGCCTCAAGAGAAAGTTTTTAGTAGAACCTTATGATTTTTGTAAGCTAAAAGAAGAGTGAACAGCAAAAGTAGAAGATAGCTGTACATTTTGCAGCCTATCAGCACAAACGAAAATCAGATTGATTTAGGGCGCTAGACTGCTAAAGGCGGACATCGTGGAAAGAAAAACGACCTTGAGGCAAACAAACAGCACTGCAAAATTGGAAAAATGTCAAGCCAAATATAAAATCTTAAGCTCACCAATTCCTAGCTCCTTGTCGCGCGGATCGCACACAATCAACAGTGCATCCTTCGTATTCATTAGCGCTTTCTCAAACACTGAATTAACCCATTCAAAGTATAAGCGGCCAAAAGCGACATCTTGAAATGAAACGGAAAGCAGTACATTTATATAAACTTTACATACGTTTGTCCTGATCGACGCGCAGTCTGAGTCCTTGCATTGAATAAGCCTGCTTGCTACTTTGCAAATAAGAGGCCAGCGAGTTCATATCATGCCCGGCAGGCATATTTTCCAATAGAAGTTGACGAGCCTATAATTAAGAACAAAACGTAATACGACATTCTAAAACTGCGGAGAAGAGAGTAAAATAAGGCTATGCATTACAACTGATTGGCAAAACAAATATAAACACATGTCGGAAACTCAACATGACACTGTTAGTATGCTTAGTTTGGTTTAATCAACTTAAAACTAACTTAAAAAACACATCAGCGTAATAGTCAAAGCAAACCTTTAAAGGAACATCACAAGATGACGTGCACAGCAATTCCAATATCACATTTTCATCAACGCCGAGCTGGCTAAGAATCATGGAATGCGTGTAGTGAACTGCACTTGGATACCTGAAATAAACAAGTAAAAATCGGATAAAAATACAAATTATTTCTAGCATTGCCATCTATTGGCTGAAGTGGCATCTTCTAATAAACTAACGATAATTTTATGGATCATGTGGTTTTCATCTACAACTTACCGTTTGATGAACGAGACTATTTCCTCAGTTTGTAAACAAAAATTGCTTCAACTGTCCTTTTTACTAAACGTGGTAAACGTGGTCATGGTATCTCATCGCAGTGAAAATAGCATCCCGATAATTCACACGTGCTTGATTTGAGTCTGAGCGAATCAGACGAGCCTCCCTTTACAGTCCTAGCCAGTATAAATTGAATAAATATTGAATAATTAATTCTTTAGAGCTATCCCTAAGAAAAAAATTTGAGCGACCAATTGATTTAAGGCGGGGAAACTAACTTAACAAGGAAGACAGAAAAAACAGTTTCAATAGGAAGTATAAGCAATAAGAAAATGTATGTGAGCTTAAATGATCTTTTTCTAGAGGTCGAAATGCCATGAATATTTCCAAAATGAAGAGATTTGAAAACAACTGTATTATTAACATTTTTGCAGGACATGGGAGGAAAAAAGTTAAGGTGAACAAGTGGTTAAATGAAGAAAAAACGAGTCTAACAATGAAACTCAAGAAAAGCTGTACGAACAAATTGTATAAGCAAAAATATTATGGAAATCAGAAGTACCTTTTCCCCGCGTCTGAAATGGCATGGCTATATCCACAGTGAAGAACATCTGATTCGTTACCAACTAAAACTATCTTTCCTTCATCCATCCTGAAAAAATCAATAGAGTGACTCCAAAGAAAAACCAAGTTTGAGACTGAAAAGGAAGGCAGATGCATAAAACCAAACAATCGCTTCAATAAGCGCTCATGTTTCAAATAGATAAGCCTAGTGTGAGTAGAAAAGAAATTCTATTCTCGCAGATCAGATATGCAAGAAAAAGGAAGAAGCCAGCGAGCAGACAATACCGGTTATCTCGTCCACGCGTGCGCGCATCCCATCGCTCCGCCCATCGCAATCAGCGGTGTTGAGCGCACGACGGCGAGCTCTTTATCCTTTGGATCATGTCCTGGAACGTGTGAGGTAAGGATTATGGTCGCCTTTCTTAACAATGTCAAATGCAAAGGAGGTAATCTTACAGCCGTTAGAAAGGAAATTTGTGACATAGCGAACAAATGAAACCATGAGGAAAGCTTAGATCGTTGTCCGTCTCTCGCTGCGTATAATTCTTTTTCTCTCAAATATAAACCTACAATTCTCACCAAACATCTCTGCAGAAACCCTTCAGCAATCAGCGAGGTAGCGGACATTTCATTTCAACGAATTAAGGAGATTATCCTCAATTAACGTACGAACACACACAAATGAAAAAATCTGCCATAGATTCATCATTGTTAGTAGTTTCATCCACTTAAATGACTCGCATAAACGAAAGCTTTCTTACATCGTTTGAATATTTTGTCTTTTGTATCTCACTACCGCTTATCATTGAATTTTTTGAGCGCGTGCCAATAACGCCTTCATTTGTCCCTGACGCTGTGGTTCAGTGGACTCCGCTTCCTTCAAAGCTGGTCGTTTTGTGCAATTAGAGCTCCGTGAAGAATTTCGGTCCAAGATCGGCAGTTATGGCTGTGCTCGCTTGATATCTCAGCGGATCCAGCACATAGTCGCTTAGGACATTAGTCGAAATCTCATTACATATCCAGCCTCTTGATTGACAAAGTTTGAAACTTCCAAATTACTCCACAATACAATGAATGGCATTATTCACTGTGAACCTATACAATATTGGAAACCTAACTGTATAAAGTTCTTTTATCAGATGCGTTCGGAAATGAAAGGATATCAAATGACAGCGGCTGCATAAGACGATATAAGGCTTCTCCGCAAAAGCAAAGGTCGACTTAGGTTACATGAAGATGAAGCACTGAATTGAGCTTGGCAACCACGCATTCACCATTCCTTCATCATTATCGGTTGTGGGATAGTCCTGAGAGCCCGTGAGAGATGGGTAAGGGGCAAGGGCGACATCGAGACACTCCATTCTCCCATCCTCCACTGTTGAGTCATGGCCAGCAGGGGTCGGACGTCGACAATTTGCCGACGCAAAGTCAGAAGCAGCGGAAGACGTAAATGGCCTCCACAGTGGGTGATATTTATAATTCAGCTGGTTAATCATCGGTACCATCTGAAAGTTATGCTTATGCCCTTTTGTCTAGAAAAAAATGCGATCATTTCTCACTCCAATCAATGTCGAGCAGAAAATGTGCAGCGGTTTCAGGGTTCAAAAAGACCTGATACTGTGATGGAAACGTAAAATAAGTAAGCCACAAAGAATCGACCAAAAGAACATAAAATCCTCCCTCCTCGGTGTAAGAGATGTTACCCATCTCCTTGTTAATGCTTTAAAGTAATGAGTTCTGATTTGTCTTCAGGGTTGATCACAGCAAGGAACAAGTTAAGATGAGTATTCACTCTCTGTATAGAACACTCGTCTATCCCTCAAGCAACTGTAACTCTTGGACTACAATGGTCATTTTCAGTAGTTCTCGACCTCATCCCTGCTTGGCCGCAAAACTTGAAGAAACTTCCAAACCCCTTCAAGGCATGAAAACAGTACAATGTATATTTTCATAGTGTTGGTACTAGACCTAAACAGCCTTTAACCCACTGCGTACCCTTTGCCTCTGCGTGCCCGCGCTTTGGTCCAAAATCACTATAGAGTTTGACCACAGTTCCAACAAAACATACTTTGCGATTCGCTCAAAAAACCGCTCTGTGTGGCCGCGTGCTGCACGCCGTGAGTGGCTCCGTCCGTCCGTCCGTCGGTCCGTGACGCGTGCGTGCTGTGACGGCGGTCGCGGGGGTGGTGCGACGGTAATGCTAGATGTGTGTTGACAACACTAGATCATGTGCCAGCGCTGTCAACACCAATCTAGAACCGCCGGGCGACACGCACGCGTTGAACGGACGGACGGACGGGTGGAAGTCTAAAAGCAGCCAACGACCGACCGACGGCGCTCGCTGGCCATGTGGGGACAACGCTGGCCATATGATCGCAAGCACTCCAGTATTCTCACCTCGTGGCCGTCGTTCGGTCGGTTGGTCGATCTTTGAAGCCTGAAAGCAGCCGGTCACGTCGCCGCGTCGATTATGAGTAAGACGGAGGGCACATGCGCCAGCCAGCACAAACATTACGGTACGCAATGGGTTGAATATTTTCACAGAAACCTAGGGTAATTCGGAACGCTGTGACTAGGACTACCTATCATAGCTGCTCGCACACCAAATGAACTGTAACAAATACAATATATTGGGAATACCAGTCACTTTAAAATGCAACTAGCCCCCCTTCCTTTTGAGGTCCGCAAGATTTTGGCAAGAATATGTTCCTTAAAATTTTGTACAGTGACTAGCAAATATCCCACACAATTGTAACACACTCAAACAAAGTGAACACAATTAACTAACTACGAAATATAGATGGCCTTGTGACTTGGCAGGACAGTCAGACTCAAAAAGGAAAGGACACTTTCGCTATAGCGGATATCAGCTTCAACATCATTTTAATCTGGGGGTCCTCCACGTTTTTGCAGTTGATACCGAATAGGCCTCAAGACCCCCCGCCCCCTGTGCAGATCTTGACTCCTTTCTACAAATTCGAAAAACAGCTCTACTTTCTCGACTACATTGAATTTTGAAAAGAATTGTACCAATATCGAAGAAGCGCCTAGAACCTCAAATCGACTTCTAAGACAGTCAAAGTCAAAGATGATTCTCAGTCGTATTAGCATCATACAGCCTACGCCACATGGCCACGAATCATTTCACCAGTTGCTAAGGCCACTCACAATATTAGCGCTGATTTTGAGCCGGTACCCGACAGATGTGGACCTTATGTGTATCGAACGAAGGCATAATACTGTCTGTAATCCTTTGTATTCATTTCCTGTCGAAGCTGGAAACTATACATTTTCAGACGAAAAGCCATGATCAGCGAGCAAAGTCATCCTGTGAAGGGATGATTTCAAGAAGCAGGTGAATGTTAAAACTCCCTCAGCACAGTACAGCTGAAGAACGCGTATTACCAAAGCATAACTAGAGTTGAAATACTGTGTGAATGGTAACCCCTCGAACTCGAATATAAACGTATATTCAGGCAGTGGAGAAAATGCCATTAATTCTAAATTACCCAGCCTCAGTTCTCTATGTGGTAATTGCAACCGCTGCTTATCGGCACACAGCAACTGTCTTGGCAGCCACCGTCGACGCTACGTATGAGTCATGTGGACCGTGATCGATACACTAACTGCATTCAGACTTTCCGCGGACCGACGTCCGATGGGCAAGCGTTCACGCCGCGCCGCAGCTCGGCATCACAAGGCTTGTTGCCCCATTTCAGGGAAAACGGGTTTTGAATTGCTCAAATACGTTTGCTGAACTTCGCTCTCTCGCTCAGCAGTTGCTAATAGGTTTATAACTGATTGTGCAATTGAATACAGTTTTTTTCAAACCGAGCTCAGCCGAGAAACAGTAGCCCATATTCCATCCCATTAATTAGATCCCATTCAATGGATAATAAAGTTATAATTAACCACACGCCAAACAACGTAATAGTGATGATGAAACAAAAGGTGAATTAGCACGACAAAAAAGTTGGTGTGCCTTGAAAGCGTACCAGCCCTAAAATAAGGCTATTAACTTTATGGGACGTGAGCGAAGCTGTTGTGCGAGTTCACTCCCGCTGTGAACGCAGCGCACAAGTTCACGTAGCGCGATTGAGAAATATTCCACTGGACTGCCGCCGACTGCATCTATTTCTACCCATTGTAGCAGTAAGCAATTGGCTGCTTTCAGACTTCAACGACGCAACACCGACGGGCGCGCGTCCGACCGACAGCGGCGCCAGCCACTTATTGACAATACTGGCGCGCGGTCCATAGCCGGTCAGTGTTGTCAACACCGCCTGCAGCACCGTCGTAGGTTGCGTGGTTGAATTCTAGAAGCAGCCGTTGCGTACGAACAACACATCCTAGTGGCTGCCACATGTGCGGTTCGTTGCGCGCTTCCGTCGAAACCAGGTCACGCCCAGCCGTAACACTCGGCCGCCTCAGCGCAGGATTCTCAACGAGCATCGCATTTAGCAGTAGGGCATACGAGGGAAGTCCAGCAGCTTAAAGGCACACTTCGCAATAATTTCAAGGTACCCGTTTTTCTTCTGCATGGGTTCCCTTGTGAGTGGTGCAGCCTCTCCAAGAGGGTGAAGCTCGTCCGGGGATACACACGGGCCAATCTTTGAGCCTTTGTAACTCCCTAACAGCCTTTTTCCGACCTAATGGTGCCAGATATGGTAAATGCGAGCCTCAAATTTATTCTGTGGGGTAATCTAAGAAACCATTTTTACCGTGAACTGTGCCTTTAAAGGAAAGATAACACGGACTGGTGCAAGGCATTCGCTCCGCTGACACTTAATGGTACTGCAATTTCAGCTCGAGATTGCAGTGAGCTGCGCCGCGCGCGAAGTGGGCGGGATGACTTAGTTGCTGCGGAAGCGCGGAAAGGACATCTCCCGTCACGTAAAGCTTACAACCGACTCGTCACTTAAATGACGCATCGAAAAAAAAACTTTGGTTAGGACACTGGAGCGGAACGTGGGCTACTGCAGCGATTGCGGACTGCTACTGTGGGACCAAGCAATTAGAATATGTTTGAAGGCAGTCATTTTGTGCGTGGGTGACACGCAGTGCCGGGATTTCTATACAGTTACTTCTCAACAGTGAAAGTGTGGGATGTTCGTTGACAGAGACACGCACAATTGTCAGTCACGTGTATTGATCACAGCGCACTCAGCCCTGGTAAACCATACGCTGGCAAAGTGGCGATAATCTATCGAATATGGTGAGATCTGGTGCGTGTTACATTGCGGGATGTGCGCCTACAACATTGCCTATAGCCTAAGACACCCTGAATTTCGCCATCAGGAATCAGTATGTATCAATCGATTGACCCCACCTTCACAAGGAATTGTTTAGAACCCCCCTCCTCTGTTCATTACGTGGGAAGTTTGTGGATTTGAATGGAGTTTTCACCAAGTTGCATTTTCGCAGTTCCTCTACTCTCCCTTGACAACATTGATCTGAATTCCGGCAAGTGTCATTTTCACCACCCAACGACTATTCACTGATGTGTAGAGCCCGATCAATACAGGGAAGGGCAGCGCTACTCCATCAACAACATGCTAACACTGTCACATACTTCCCCTCAGCTCCAAGGTTAATAGCGGCGTTAGTAGTTTTCCGGTCAGTCCTGGAATGTGCTGAAACTGATCAAACGGAGAAGTTAAATGAACCCAAACAATAGTACAAAGCACTGGGAGCAGCACTGAAATGTGTAGTTTTGAAAGCGGTTCCCATGCAGTCTTATAACCAAACTATCAATGATAAACACAAATACACGGATACTTGAAATAATCATTCCTAGAGAATGTTGAAAATCCCAATGTAGTTGCTTGGCACTTTGGTTTCATTGTAATTACAAGGATAATTACAGCATATGTAGCTGTAATAATGCTAACGACTGGTTTCTGCCTCGATTTTTCCATCAATAAAACAATGAGAATGATAAGGCCTAATCTAAATTTCTATCCAATAGCCGTAAAATGAAAACAGTATTAAAATCGCATATTTGCTGTGTGCGATCGTTGCTGGGCTCCAAATGGTCGTCAAACGAAAACAATAAGGACTCATTCTGTCGTAGATACACATTTAACACTTTATTACACATGTGATCTGACAGCAATGAAACCTTTCCAGGGAACGGCGCCTGCCAACGCTCGGTCGATTGAAGTCGAACTGAACTATGACAGGACGAGTTTTCCACGTGACGTATGGCGGTCTTCAACAGACATCGGTTACGGTAGCCCCTTTTGACTGAGTATCTGCTTTTGGTTGCACGGCGCTCTGCAGCTAAATTGCTTGCTATTTCTTTTACGTGGAAAGTCTATTTTGATTTAGCTTCCAAATGTTAACTCATGGATTGTCTTCTTTTGTGAATTTGGGTCGTTCTGCGTTTTCTATATAGGACTGCTTAGTCTCATAATTATAGGAATAACCAACAAGAAGTGATTTCTCGTTTTGGGTTTGTAGGTTTGAAGTGTTGGGATTTGTTGTTGCGTTCATGTTTCCTACATATCTGTAGCACTTTACTAGAATTAAACAGCACAACAGAAACCCTTTAAGACTGGCATGGTTTTCAGGCTCCATATCGCTTTCGTATT